TATTCTTATGTTATGATTATGTTATGTTATGCCAAGTACTAAGCTAATCTCCCCTCCACTTAATCCATTCCAACTAATGTTATTTTAGCTCATTCAACTTACATAAACTGTACCTTAATTTTATCGGTTGAATTTCAACCGCTGGGCGAACACTAGTATTTATAAAAACCAATGTCAACATTTAAATTATATTCTTTAAAAAGTCTCCATGAGTCCCCAACGCAAAAAGGAAGACCCAATGACCAAAGAAAATCTCACAAAGTTCCATAAAGGTTCATAAAATTTCGAAGTTCCATAAGAAAGTCGTAAAATGCCGAAAAGTTCCTACCGAATATTATGAAATCTTGGAAGGTCTTAGAAACCTTCAATTTTAACCCAAAAAGGAATATTTTCGAAAAAATTACAAAACTTTTAAAATTTTATTAGCTCTGAATAAAGAAGCTTACCTTAAATCTAAAAACTATAAAAGAAAAATAATAATAAAAAATTAAAATAAAACAAATATATTTCCTTTTAAAACAATAAAATACAAAAATTATAAGACAATGACATTAACAAAACAAATTACATTGAAAAAGAGGAAAGAAATAAAATAAAATTCTAAAAATTTAATTACATTTAAAAAATATATATTTTTTTCTTTTTTAATCAATAAAATTTAAAAATTAGCAGAAAATTTAAAACAAAAATAATTGAAAGAAGAAAATAGTAAGCTCCTAGAAGTTAAATGAAATAAATGAAATATATTAAATAAAAATAAATAAAAGGAACGCTTGTGTTTTCCCACTCGGCCATTGCGACTAGCATTTCAACATGAGTGGTGAATGAAAGAGCTCCTTTTCTAAAACTTTTATGCTAGAATAACAAAAAGCCTTGGAACTATCTTGCCATCTCTCTTTTTCATCGTCTTACAAAAGACTTTTTAATATCTTAGCCCGAATTGCCCTAATAATCCTTTTGCAGGTTTGAATAAAAGGTGGTCAATAAACAGTTAAGTTAGACCTCCAAACCAAACTTGTCATGCGTTCAGCGATTTTTGGGGTTCAGTGCCCACATTCTTAAGGATTTTCAAAAAATAACAGTTTTCATTTCCTAAAAAAATACTTTTGCCTTGATGAGTTCAGCACCGCAGCCACTGCGTCCCTGATCGTGTAAGTGTGTATTTTAATTGCGGCGGCTTTGTTTTATAAATATTTTATTTTAAATTTTTTTATCGCAGTTCAATAATTTTTCGTTTTTTTTCGCTTTTTTTTTTGGTAAAATCTTGGTCGACTATGAGCATTTTGTACATATTTATTTATGCCTGCACTGAAATTCTAGAAGGTGAGTAGTTAGTTGAGCTGAATTAGGTATGTAATTAATTATGCTCGCTCCTACTGATGATTATTCGCTAATGCGATAGCTATCCCCCAAGCATACAAAATACATGCATTGCATTATCACAGCGCAATAATAAGAAGAATAAAGCAAAAAAAAAAAGTCGGCAAGCAAAGCAGCGAGCAGCCGAAGGGAAAATATATGTATGCTTGTCCAACAACCCAGCGCCTGTGTGTGAACAATAACATTATGAGTGTGGGGACAGCATACATAATTAATTTGGGCATACATACGTCACGTAAATAACATTAAGCGCAGCCAGCGTCGAACGCGCAAAAAAAAAAAACATAAATAAAAGATTACATTCATATGCCAAAAATAATGTTTTCGGCATGAAACGCGTAATCAAGAGCCCAAAGGCAGCACGCGGTTAATATATAGTTAATATATAGTAAGATATGATAATTTAAGCCGCGCTAGCCTTATTACGAGAATATAGAACCAAGCACAGGTGCGCTAAAATGCAAGTATTTAGTATAAAAGCT